AAGCAAATGTTTTGAGAATGATGATGGCAACAAATGTACAAAAGTGCTTGACACAATGGATGCATGGATGGATTGTGATAAGAGTTGTACAAGCCCCCAATAAAATGATTTATTTTTTTTTTAAATCTTTGATCCGCATAGCCTCTTTTCAGTCATGCCCCTGGTGCTACCACTCTCTTTTTGTCCCCCAGTTTATCAGCCCCCTTGTTCCCTTGACCTCTGCCCTGCTCAGGAAAGTGTTACAAAGTTCCAGGATCAAGAAGGTTCTCACATCAGAAATCCTGCATCCAAAAGACATGCTACCCTCCTGCTTCTTTCTTGACAGATGCCCCTTCTGCTCTGGAATGGGCTCTCTTGTAAGCCTATCAGGGTGGCAAAACTGATCAATCCTGTTAGGGTTCCATATACTTTATTTGAATGGTCCACCCCCATAAGTAAGGCTAGAATGCTCCTTAGAGGCAAGTATGGCAAGATTTCGTTTTACATACTCTGGACATATTACAAGGAGAGACCAGTCCCTGGAGAAGGACATGATGCTTGGTAAATTGGAGGGGCATCAAAAAAGAGAAAGGCCTTCACTTAAATGGATTGCATCAATGGGCTCAAGCATAAGAACGGTTGTGAAGATGGCCCAGGACCATGCAGTGCTTCCGTCTGTCCTTCGTAGGGTCGCGATGGATTCGTAGGGTCTTGATGGCACCGAACACCCACTACACCACCCCACATGGGTGCCACATAATTTATTTACATCATTAGAAAGCTGTCCAGTCTCTTCGATGTGTCTCGAGTACGACACATTTGTGTAGTACTACATTGTCCCTTGGAGGGAGCACCACAGAGACTATCATTAGAAGGGTTACATTGAACAATTCACTGCTCCGCATACAACATTCGTGAAAGGATAGCATTTTAGGGGTGGAGAACAGATTTGTGGTTGTCAGGGGTAAAGGGAGCTTAGAGGATAGGAGAGAAGTGGGTGTGCTTGTAAATGTCTACTCAAGGTTATGGAAATGTTCTGTATCTTCTCTGACTATTATTAGCATCTTAGTAGTGATATCACGCTATTATTTTGTAAGAGGTCATTGGGGAAATTGAGTGAAGGGTAGATGGATCTCTGATTTATATTGTATAACTGCATGCGAATCCATAATTATTTGAAAATAAAAGCCAAAATCCCTCTGGTGTACTACTTCACAACGCTCTGGACCTTCCAAGGCTGAGGAACAAGCTTAATGTTTAACTGACAACATAGATTTCCTCTTGGAGCATCACACTGGTGGAAAACACACAAAATAGACTGGTACCGTTTAAAGCTACAGTACTTGGAGATCAGCAGACCCAATGACTCACTCACTGCCACTGTGTCAATACCAACACACAGGGCACTAAATGACGGGAGAATTGCCCCTGAGCGCTTCCGAGACAGTAACCCTTTATGGGAGTAGAAAGCCCCATCTTTTTGGTGGGCAAGTTAAAAGAAAAAGAGGTTCTACGTAAAGCAGATGCTTCCCATACCTTAATTCTTGACATGTGAAAACATTTTGCAACATTAACAGACATGTTTTTCTATAGAAGCACCCACTTAAGTAAATTAGAAACACGAAGCTATTAATATGGGTGAAAAATGTTTACATAGTTCAATATAAATAACAGCATAAGGAGAATATGTTTCATTTTAAACATGGCATAACATATACATAGAAAACATCCATAATATCAAAAATATTTACCATATATACTGGAGCATAAGCCAACCTGATAACAGCCGAGGCACCTATTTTACCACAAACTGCATAAAAAAATGTGCTGGAAAACTCAGCTTATACATGAGGATATACGCTATTTTTAAAAGACTCATGTAGCTCATCATCCAAGCCAGGAAATAGAACAGCATTACTTCGGAAGTTCCCAAGTGAAACCTCCTTCCCAGAGGTGCCACTACCCTGACCTTTGTGATGA